CCCGGTTCCGTGGAGTGCTTGGTCTCGGGCTCGCCAGTAAGTTGTGGAAAGAACGAATGATGCTTCCGCCTGGGACTCCCGTCAGTCTTAGGGTAAATCCCGCCCCCAACGGGACCTGGGAGGACCCACGCTGCCCCACCTGCCCTCTTCTAACAGGTGACCTTGGGTGTCGGGCGGAGGGGGCCCGCTTTCCGGGCAGAGACGAGTTCAGGGGGCCCGGGAGGGGCAGTGAGGTTGCGGTGGTCCCAGCTGCTGGGGCGGGGGGCGGGATGCTCCACCCCTCCTCCGCCAGCACCGACTTGGCGGCCAGTCAGAGGCTCTTCTTCCCGTGGCCAAAGCCTGTGTTCTCCGTAGCCATTTGTGCTCCCTGGTCCCGCAGTGTCCTGGCCTCGGGGCAAGTGCTGTCAGAGCTCAGGAAGAAGGAGGCTCATGGTTCCTGGTGGAGTCTCCCCGGGAGTGAGGTGGGGAGCGGGCGGCGCAGGTCCGGTCCCTGCCGGTGACCCAGGGAGGCGCCAACCCTCCAGGTGCCGTTCTTGTGAGGTCAGTGCTGAGGGCTCTGCTCCTCTGCCCACGTTCACGAAAAGAGTTTCAGGGTTGATGGAAATGTATTTAACGACAAAAGTTGGGGCAGATGCTTCCCCATGTCAGTACATTGTAATCACTGTGATTACGGAGGAATTCCCGATGCCCTCTCTTCCTCCCTGTACAAGAGTAAGCAGCGGTTAACATGTTGCCTCTGGTTTGTGAGAGGCAAAGCTTCGGGTGAATTTGGGGAACTCCCTTAGCCTTTCGGGGACTGGTTGGAGGTGATGAGATGTTCCCCCCGCCCAGGGAGGGGGGGCTGTGGGAGAAACGAGAACCCAAAGAAGCTGAGCTGAGTCATTTCCATGTAAGTCTCACGGCTGTGACCAGTGAAGCGGGAACTATTATTGTATTGATCCAGAAACAGACGCTCAGAGAAATGAAGTGATGTCTTCAAGGTTAACACAGCTGGCAAGTGTCGGCTTTCAAGAGTTTGGATTCCAGCCACAGGAGACTGACTTACGGACTGGGGACTTGTAGTCGCTTTAACCAGGATGTGCCCCTCAGCATGGGGCAGGCAGCGAGCAGGACCAGTGAGGCTCAGGTACTGCCGTTGTCACCAATGCTGTTATTGTCATTATTCACTCATTCCTCTGACGTCCTGGGGCCCATGGTGTCTGCATCTCCCAGTCCACCCGTCACTTCCATTGTCTTGTGTGACCTTCCGGTGGCTCCCGTGGAGGAGGCTTCTCCCTTACACTGCTGTGTCCACCCCCACCTTGAGCCCGGCACGGAGCTTGGCGCTCACGAGGTTCTTGGCGATT